TTATGGCTTACTTTGATAAAGAATCACTCCCCATCTGATTATACTACAAATTTGTCCTTGTACTATGCATATAATTAATAGTAACTGCTTTTAAATACACATATGATTTAATTTGAATTTCGCACAGTATAAACACAACTCGTGTTTTCTTGATCTCAAGTAAGCTTTAAAAAAACTGTTGTATAAATTGTTATTATAATTTGATAAATTTCATACAATAGATTTCTATAATTTACTAATAATAATAATTTTTTATAAACGCAACTGCAAGTTTCTAAAAACAATGGCTATATCTATTTATAGCTTCATATTATTATTGCAAAATTGAACTAATAAACATGTGCAGTTTGGGAGCATTTAATTGAAGATGCCATACTGATATTTAGAGAACTTTTAGCATTTTTAAATAAATACGTAATTGTTAAACAATTCATTTATTGCATGATAAACAAGAACACCAAGATTCAAACAAATGGCTCCTTTGCAAATAAAAACGTTTTATAACTCAATGTGTAAACTTCTTGAAGAAATCCCCATGAGCGATTATATTTCGTAAAATTAACTAAACTTTGCATTAACCGTTATGCAAAACTGATGGCTTGCCTGTTATGCAAATAACTGTAGACAGTGTAATAGTAGGCGTCATACTTATTTACTTTTTGCATCCAACCTTAAACAAATTGTAGATTCAATCACATTCCATCGAGCTAAATACTGGGTCCTCTAATAACTTATGAGATGGAGGAATATTGAAACATAGAAGATCACTATAAACATCCATAAAAATTAAATATAGATCTTTCTATTTTTATACTCATTAGTTAGTAGAAGTGTAGATTTAGAAAAATCAAAATGGACTACAAAAATAGTAGCTTAATATCAGCATCATTGCTAATGATCTTAGTTCTCAAGATATTGAATGCTTCACACTGCACTTTAACTTAATCCCTGATTCTGACAAATATGGATTGTTATGTGTAAATAATCAATGATCAATTAATAACAAGAGATCTTTATTTGATGAATTCATAAAAAGTAAATCGACTGATATATCACGGGGGGTAGAGGTAGTTTCTACTCTTCGTTCACGAAATAATATTGGACTCAAAAATATTTCGAAATCATTCAATCAATTAAACAATTTCTTAAAGATAGTTCCATTTAATCCAATGTAGATTTTGAACTTCTTCTAGGTAAGATAATTCAAGATTAATCAATCCACATATTTCACATTCAACAACATGACGCTTCAGTTCTGCTCGCAGCGAAGCGAATTTTTTGGCGTAAGAAACTAAGCAATCATACCAGAGTAACCTTCAGACTATCAACTTAAACTGCTGATTAACTGCTCTCTAGAAGAAGAGTGGACTCCAATCTGAACATCAACCCAGATGAAGCATAGAACATCTGATTAACTGTATTTAGTTCATCAGTTATTAACCTCCATGTAGACAGGTATGACAATACAATAAATTTTACAACAAATATTAGCAACAGACAATTAAAAAATGAATTGTAGTTTAACTGTATTGCTAAATAAAATTATCATTATTATATTACACATATTAGAAATTATAATAACCTATTGTAGTGAAATTTATCAAAATAAGATTACAGCAT